AAGGTGAGCACACTTAATACTACAACAAATTAAACCTGGCAAGTGCAAAAATAGTTAGTTCACGTATGAGGTATTATTTCAAAATAATAAAATAGCATAATTACAAAGTCATACTCATGAGGAACAACTAAACCCTAAAATGCTATCTTTAAGAAGAATACCTTTGTAATGGTAGACCCCAAATGGCAGTGGGCACCAACAAGCTTCAGTTCTTGCGGATGTGATTTCACAGCATCTAGAAACCACTGCAGCTTCTCATTTCGGATACCAAATTTGGAGTTCTTGTTCCCAGTGGCAACATATGGATGGACCTAATTCACAATAGCAGTAGATGCGATTTGAGCATTAGATTCCACGACCAATTATTACAAGTAATGCAATAAAATTAGCCTTTTGTAAAGCCAAAGAGCTTACAAATTTATGATGAAGCCAGCAATGGTGGTCACAAAACTTTGGCAATGGTTGACCATGCTAATTAGAATAACAATGTCTTTCCAGCAACAAAATACCAACGTAAGATTGAAGCATTTTCTCAAGTTGAAATCGATGAAGTATGTGAAAAACAGTACAAGGCATAATAGTTTACCAACATTTTTGCTACATGGTCAGATGAGGGAGCATTCAAGATGGTGGAGTGGCTAAATAAATCATTTTATTTTTTCTTTTCTTGATGAGAACAGAGAATAAGTTTATTACATTTAAAGTTCGAACACATAATAACAAATAGTGACGTCCAAATCACCAAGCTAATTTTACCCAAGTCTGACATTTCCTTACTTAGACTTATCTTTGAGATTTTAAATCGCCCAGGGCATAAACAATTCAATAGTTCAAACAAAATTCAATTATAACAGCAAGACTCTTCTTCTACTCTGGGTCCTTGGACTGTTAAAAGATATAGAAGAGGAACAAATTAATTTCACAGTTTGATATGAAATAGCATCTTAACACGTTATAGGAAGCCACTCTAGATACCTGAGGGTCTACATCTGGATTAATTCGTAGTAGCACATTAACTTTCTTCCCAGAAATTCTTGCCGCAGCAACAATGTTTTCCAGATCAAATTCACTATCAACGTTTACAAAAACACCTTCTTGAGCAGCTAGGACTAGATCCTCCAATATTTTTCCGTTTCCATTGAAGACACACCTGTCACAAGATATTGATAGATCACCTTTCAAGTTGAACACAGCATTATAGTACATCACACCCCCAAACAAAATTAAAATAAGAAACTCAAGACTATATAAAGTGTAAAATAGCTGGCTGCAAGCCTAGTGTATGGAGCCATGTTGTCTCGTTTAGAGCCACTTTTATGTGTGAGCAAGCGCAAATCTAACAGGACAATATTTTTTACACAATAGAGTAACAACTTGAAAACGAACAATTAGAAGAGATTGGGGATCCAAGAAGAAGAAATATAGTTCCTGACCACCAATTATTTTTATTTTCTTTTATGTTTATGCACTTTTTCTGTTTGAGATGACTTACAAAATCAAGAAATGTAGTCATATAACATATCATACAATTTTATCAT